ACAAGGAGGAGGGGGAGGGGAAGAGGAAGAGGAGCAGATGAAGGCTTGGCTGGCAAGATTCCGATGGACAAGGAGGGGCGAAACCCAAACAGTTTGGAACTCCAGTTTAAATTCAGTATCAGGGGGTTAGATGGAAAGGAATGGAAAGGGAAGAAGCAGAGAAGGAGAGAAGGGGAAGAGGGGGGAAGCACTCGAGAGGAAGAGATGACGAAGAGGAACAGTCTCAAATAGTAACGATCATAACAATAATAACCATAATAATGTTAAAGGGAGAGAGAAAAAATTGAAACGAAATGAGATTATGATTTTTTAGAAGGGGAAAAAAAAAGTCCCAATAATATAATTCAAGTCGAGAATGAGGAAAATGGAAATGAACTGAAGCAGCGGAGACGGAGACGATCCCTGTCGGAGACCAACAACCGGTCGACTAACTCACTAAACCTGCTAAACCGTCCATGTGTTTTTTTACAAATCAAAAAATTAGAGAAAATAATAAAATAAAATAGTGGGAAGTCATTTAAATAAGCCCGCCAGCAGCTCTGTACACAGTAGATACTCCGCGTTCATCCAGTCCGGACACTATCAGAGTCAATTTGGAAAAGGGGAAGGTATACAAACTACAAAGGAAGTCCCCGAAGATTCTAGTTATGTCAATAACTAGATTTGACTCACTCACTCTTTCCCACGTAGGTATATCCTTGTATCAGGACCTCTCTCCCAGGATCTATCACCTCCCATCTCAATCCCCTGGGAATCCGTACATCGATCATCCAGTCCAAGATCGCCATCCACCTCCCCCCGCTGAGACGGATCGATGGATTCTTGCCTTTCACCGGGTGTACTCCGAGTGTACGGTGTATGTGTAGGTCAAGAGGGCTACGTATCACATCCATCATTCCTCACGGTCTGTTGGTTTCGACTACCTTATCAAATACCACCCCCGGAATGACGTTACTGTTACACACGCAGACCTGCTTTTTTCCACTTGGGTTTTGAGTCTACTCCGTATTTGTTGGATGTTTTATTTGATTGTATTAAATTGAATGGGTTGTTCTCCGGTCAGTGTTCTCTCGCATGATACTCTCCCAAACCTTCTCCTGTCTATGATGAAACTGGCAATCGAGCAAGCGAGAACTCTCTCTGGTGGAATGGTTTCGGGTAGACACGAAAGTGGGTGAAGGGTCAGGGCTGCTCTCCACCGGCATCGAGCGTTGCGATTGGGTTTGCGACTGACCCGATTCGGGTCTGTTCCAAGGTTCGGATGAGTCCTGCGAGAAGGCAAGTGGTGCCATACCTGAACTATGCGCGATTCTAGACCTGCCGGGGCCGAATGGTTGACATTTCACCTAGGGTTTTTCAGAAACCGTCCAATTTTCTATCTTCTTTCTTGCTTTTCTGTTACTGAGAAAACCACCCAATAAATCCCTTTCATCCATCAATCCCTTTACTACTCCGTACTCAAGGTCCAAGTATCCACCTTAGCATGTCACCCTATGCCACACCATCCCTTTTAGTTCCCCATTTTTCCACCGCGGACTCCAACGGGGAAGCAGAATCGAACATTCCGCGGCCCCTGAACACCGGGCTAAAATCCCATCTTCCTGATCCTCGGGATTACCTCATTGCTGATTTTCCCCATGTGTATGGCGTAAGCTACGTATTGCTCGTTCTTATGCCGAGGTGCATCCCTACGGTGTATGCTGGCTATCGTATCTTCTTGCGGAATAGTCAGAAAATAGGATCTCTTGACCTCTCTTTTTCTTCATCTCCTTCCCCTTTCGGTTCTTGGTCGTCGTGAAATATCCCAGACAGGCTCTCTCCTCTTAAACCGTCGCTATGTGTCCTAACCATTCTCTGTTGACTAACCTTTTTTTTGAATAAAATATATGAGAGAAAAAAAAAAGCGAAATAAAATTATATGCCGCCCCGTCAGGGCTTAGCAAAGAAACGGACTAGCACAAGAGAGACTAAACAATCCATGCTAAGTTAATAGTGGGGGGTTTGCGGATTGGTAACTGCCCCTCCCCCCTATTAGTCGTGGTATCCGGACTCCTTCCTACTCCCCTTATGGTCTGTACGGACTACGGAGTAGTTAATAATAATGGAAAACGATGGCAGTGCCACTTCAGGGCCTTAAAAGGTGCTCTCTAACTTGTTACAGGGTCGAGGCACTGAGGCAGCAAGGGTCAGAGAGAGAAAAGAGAAGGGGGGGGCGATGGAAGGCCAAAAAATAAAATGAGAGAGAAAAAAAAAAGAATGGAAAAAACCTCCTGGTGTCCTCCAGCATACTCCGTATGGACGACTAACCTCGCCTATTGAACGGATCCCTGTCAATAATAAGCAGTAGGCAGAAGGCAGGCTTGCCCTCCCCTACCGGATTGAATTCCGTCGATAGATGCCGGGCCGGTCCATGGCGGATACTGCTACGTTCCACGAGCCAACAGGGATTCGTCGAGGGATTCGACAGCCTTTTGAACTTGTGACCGCCCGTCTGCCGGTTTAGAGAGGGCATGCGTATGGTGATCCTTGGCGATTTCTTGAATGGATAAAAGTCAAGTGGTCGGCAATTTAGCCTATAACTAGATACCGGACCAGCACAGAGGACCGGGCGGAATTGTTAGGGGCAGGAGGAGTGATGTCTTCTAGAAGACTAGAAGATAGACAGGGCGTGCAGGGCCACTATGGCACTAACTCGCTACGGTGTAGTTAATAGTCAAGGACCAGTAGATTAGGCAATCAAGAAATCATCCACCTTCATATCCCGAGCCCCATCGGTTTCCACGTGGGAGGACGGTCACTACGCTGTCGCTGTCGCAAGTGTCTCACTCTTACTTCTGCTGCGCTTGAATCTCACGTCTGGTCTGAGGTAGGTCCTCCGGGGCCAACTACCTCAACGATGACGGCCCGCGAACGTTTGATGGATGACCTACAGGTGTCAGTAGTAGTAGTACCCTCCATACGGCCCCTAATATGATTCCATGGATCCAGCCAGAATCGATCAATTTCTCAGAGCCACGGTCATTCGAGGATCTTCCGTCGTGAACGGGACGCAACATGGATCCGAGGTAGTCCGTCCCCGTTCCATCATAATCAAACTGACTCGAGCAACGCTGCACAAGTGTCCGTGGTCAACGGGTAATTCTACCCTAAACCTGCTAGGTTCTTCGCAGAAGCAGGAAGCAGGAGAATAATGCCGCATGGCGCATGCAACACCCTTAGCCACCCCGGTCGATAATTTCTCGCCGTAATTCCTATTTATATCCGTCAGTTAGTCCTGAGTAGGTATAAATTGGTTTTTTAAATCACCTCGGCTGTGCGTCGGTCCTTACAGTACATACATACATGCATGCATCATGCCTTTCCTTACCTGCATCCACACTTGCATTCATGCATTCATCCGCAGGTAATCTTGGTTAATCTGAGACCTGGATCGGATTGTGGCAACCTCGTCCTGGACTTCTGGCCAATCTGGTACTCGAAAAGAAACTTTTATTTGGGCGTTACTCCTCCCCCCCCCCCACCCATCCGGCTTGGGCAGCCAATTCGCCTCCGCGGAGGGTCGAGCTCTTTTCTTTTCTTTTCTTTTCTTCTCTTCTCTTTTCTTTCCTTTGTTTTGTCTTTGATGTTTTGTTAGCCTGTCTAAGCATCTCGATTTATTTCATTTTGATTATGGGGTCATTGATAAATAATCTTTATTTACATGGATCACTGATGGCTCGAGAGAATAATATAGATCGGTATCAACGTTGCAACCTAGTCCCAGGCTCGGTAGATTCGACGGAGTACCGCGCTCTTTCTAGAATTATGAAAATTGGGTATCATCGTCTTCTAGTCTTCTACGACGTATAACAGCCCCATCAGATACCATGACTTAGCAGTAGTCATCAGTGGTACCTACTACCTAGTCCCTAGGCAGTTAGCATGCTGGCCATCCAATATCCCCTGAAATCATCGCCCATCAGCCACCACGATCATCATGACACCTGTCGCAGGAACTGATTGGCTAAATGATGGATAAGGATGCTCATCATTCCCCCGTAGAAGGTAATGGTCAGTTGTAGGCGTCTTGGCTTACCGTTTCCAGTAACTCGTCACCCCTTCGTGCCTGCCCTGCCATGCCCTGCCCTGTCCGCGCTCTCTTGTCGTGACGTGCAAGCGCCAGAGCCCGTCAGGTACTCGGGCCAGATCCGGTGTGCGATCACCGGTGGCTTGATTAGGTTTGAGTCCGCGTGCGGGATTTTTGTGTTCTTTCGCCAACGCAGCCTGGGCTGGGCAGGTGATACGTCTAAACTATCGTGCCTAGGTAGGTACTAGGTAACCAGGTAGTTAGATAGGTAGCTATGGTGATTGTGTAATCATGGGCGAAACTGGGACCAGCTTCGATCTGAACCACGTATCCTGTTCCATTATTGATTTACAAAGCCAAGTCGGTCCTTTCAGGGTGGAATAATACGTACCCCGTACGTTGTTACGCATTTCCGGAGTGAAATAGGCTTAGCAACGAAGACCTCAGAAAGAGTGTCCATTGGTCATCAACGGCGATGTGCCGTTTTTAATATAAATTTGGAGTCTAGGCCCTCCTTGTTGACTTTTGCGGTGGATGTTAACGTTTTCCGGGCAGCAACGCGATCGACGGGATAAATGCCTAAAGGTGTTTGGGACAGGCGCCAAACCGTTGAAATGTCCAGAATAGAAAGAGGGGGGAGGAGGGGGTCCTTATCTCGATCAACTATGAACTACGGATACTCCGTAAGGAACCCGAACAGGGCAGTGGAGGGGTCGTTCAAATCCCGGTGGCTGTGATAATAAGACAGGGGTCTAAATAGCGTGTTCTTGACGGGATACGTTGTGCTTCCAGGGGGTGAAGCGGGTCATCGGAATTAGGTGATTGATGATACGCGTGGGCAGCTCGGTATGTTCTGGATGATTGATGGCAGGGCGATTTCCTAGGTGACAGGACAGTCTGTCACATCAAGCTTGTGCTAACTATCTGAACATGACTATAGTTTCTCCAATGGTAGGATATCTGGGATAGGGCTAGCAGGGACGACGGTCTGCGAGCCGCCCACTTTCTTCCCCAGTGTCTTGAGATAGTTATATTTATACTATCAAACACCTGTTAGCATGCAATCGAGATTCCAAAAGTCCCTGCGGTTCAAACCCACAATATAGAAGAACGTCGTCTTCTTGAACGCTCCTCCGCGAGTCCTCTCGGACTCGTCAAAGTACAACTGTCGATACCAGCCATCAATCCGCGGGTAATCATGGAGGATCATCTTTAAATTGCACCGAAAGATCAAGTAGTACGCGACATCGAACCGGCAGATGGTCGTATACAGCCGCACATCCGCCTCGGTGATATTCTCCCCAAAAAGGTACGGCCCGTGGCCCGACTGCGCAAGATGTTCTTCGACGCGATCCAGTGCCTCAAACAGCGGATAGACGTTGGCATCGTAGGCCTCCTGCGTCGTGGAAAACCCCGTCTTATACACTCCGTTGTTGATTCGCTCATACACCCACTCGTTCATCGCATCGATCTCTCCCCGCAGATGAGCCGGATACAGGCCCCCGCCTGGCTGGTTCACCTCGCGCCGTTCCGCCGGCAGCAGCGCGTCGAACTAGGAGTAGAACATGCGGATGATCTCGCTGCTCTCGTTGCTCACGATCGTCTTCCGCGTGCGATCCCACAGCACGGGGATTGTGTACCGGCCCTGGTACGCCGGGTCGGCTTTATAGTAGAGCACGTAGCGGCCTGGTTGGGCTGGGAACGCGGCCGTCGGGTCGGGCGATACGAATGAGCGGAAGACGGAGTCCTGTCATCGAAAGTGCCCGTCGGCATCGGCGTGACGATAGATCTTGGGTTCCTAGGGAACTGTTCAGTTGGGATGAGATTGGGGGGTGTATAGGTATCTACTTACTGTCTCGGTCATTCTGGATGGTATACTCACTTTGAGTGGTAGATTGCCGTGTTCGAACCGATAAATGATTGATTTTACACTTTGAAGATATGTTCGATTACAGATATATTTTGTTACATATATGTTGCAGATGGCTGGCTAAATATTCTGTATGATGGTTCAATGATGGCTTACAAATCCATCTGCAATGGTGCAAAATATTTTCGCCGCTGCGTCATCGGAATGAAGGATTATTAAAAAGGATACGAAGCAGTCTCGTGTTGGATTACGTGAAAAGCCTACTAGTGTGTTGGGTTTTATCTCGGCCATGGAAGAAATGCAAGCACGTTGAGCGGGGTAGAGTAGGCCGCAATATATCTTTTATACTAACCTTGTACTTCTCTGTACATATACCCAAGGAAATATATACCGAGTAGTAAGATAGTGTGGAAGATCTAAATGCTTCAAACAATCCGCAAAACCTTCGCTAAAGGCAAGTTCCGAAGATATCGTACTAAGCGGAGGATTCCATGAGAATGAAGCGGAAGATTCCTTGATATCGGCCATAAAGATCACGTGAAATCAATTATAAATGACCCCTAGTTAGTTGATCAAGCAATTCAAGCAATTCAATCAATTCAATCATTTTTTAATCGTTTTTGACCACTTCGGCAGCCTACACCTGGCATAGAAATCGTCTACAGATAACATGCTCACAAATAGGCGGCCTAGCTATATCTCAAAGTAGCCTACATTTCATCCCCCAATTTTATATCTCAATAACTAATGGCTCCTCTCCCCTCTCTCTCCTCCACTTGTTCGTCGCATCCAATACTTCCCTACATCCCCTCAGGCTCCATCCCCACTTCCGCCAGAATCCCTCCGAGATCTCCCACCCACTGGCATGCCACGGTGGCGACCACGCAACCACGCCTCGATGCTCGCACTCCGAGTCCGGAAAACCCTCGAAAAGCCCGCCGATCGTGTCAGTCCACAGCTCATCCTCGTCGTACTGCCCGGCCGCCAGAATGATGTTATCGCGCCATTGAGGATGCGGGATCAGATCCATCCAGTCTTCATGAGGGATCGTCTGCTGCACCAAGGTGGGTGCGAGGGCCGGGGGCACGCTGCCGGGAGGTGAGGGGCCGGGTAGGGTGCGCGGCGACGTTGACGGACAGGCTCCTGGGACGGCGTCCAGAATGACGGAGAGGAGTTGGCGGTTAGTGAGGCAGCCGCGGAAGACATTGAACTGGAGCAGTGTGATCAGGTGGTCGGAGGATAGAGGGAAGAGGACACGAGGTCGGCTGCACCGCCGGGAGGTGAATGGGCTTGGTTGTAGGGCCGTAGCTTCGGAGGATAGTAAGGCATCTCGAGTCCGGTGGAAAGTATCCGCTACGGATGCAGGGAAGGTAGAGACCATTTGGTGGTCTTCGTCCCAGCACGGGATTTGGGATTCGGCTTTACTGGCGCTGACGCCTGACGGAGGCTTAGAGATAGGTGTCTGAAGTCCTTGTCCCTCAAGGGCCTTGCGTCTTCCTAGAGCGCGAGTTAGCTTCGATACACTCGCTAGGCTGGCACACTTACGTCGCCAGGCTCGGGTATTCAGTCGAGTCTGCTTTCTTCGACGAGCCGCGGCATCAGCAAGACCTGTCCAGTCATCGTCCAAGTCAGCTGCCTGCGTCAGGTTAGTGTAAACCTCCATCCTTGATGATCTGGGGGCGTATACCATGAGCTCACCTCAGTTAGCTGGGGCATCTGCATGATAGGGATCGAACATGCAGCTGGGGATATCGACATTGGCGCGTCCGGCAACATCAAGCTAGACGTGACGGGTTTGCATGAAACTAATTCCTTAGTCTGGGAAGTGAAGGAAGTCAGGTTGCAAAGCGCAAGGGCTTCTACAGCTGCTATCAGATTCATCACCATCCACGGGTTGCAGGATTTCAATCTAACTGTCTTGGTACTGGTGTCATGCAGGCTGCTCACAGGGACACTTAACCCGATTCGGTGATTTTCTTACTATGGGAAGAGTCAACGGACAAGATATTTAAGAGACCATTTCCACGACTGAATCCATCCTGGATACTGTTTCTGTTAGCATCACCAGGCCAAATATATCTTAAGTATCCTTTCCATTCAACATGACATTCCATCCCGATTCTCTCCCCGACCTCTCCGGCAAGACCTACATCGTCACGGGCGGCAGCTCCGGTATGTACGTACCAAACCACTCATACCTACATTCTAAACTACTTCCATCCATCTAACCCAGAGATCAATCAGAGGCTACACCACCGTCGCTCGTCTCGCCCAGCACAAAGCCCACGTCTACATGTGCGCCCGCTCCCCCAGCAACGCCACTGCCGCCATCCAGCGCATCCAGTCCCTCTACCCCAACGCACGCATCACCTTCCTCGAGATGGACCACCTCTCGCTGGCCTCCGTCGTCTCCGCCGCAGAGCGCTTCCTATCCACGGAGCCCGCCCTACATGGCCTCGTCAACAACGCCGGCATCATGGCCACCCCGTTCGAAATGACCCCCGACGGCCACGAAGCCCAATGGCAGACCAACTATCTCGCCCACTGGGTCTTCACGGACCGCCTCCTGCCGCTCCTGCGCCGCAGCGCGCGAGCCCTGCTGCCTGGGAGTGTGCGTGTTGTCAACCTCTCCTCGTCGGGTCACTACGGGGCACCGACCGGCGGGGTGAACTTTGAGGACCCCGCGTTGAGAGACGCCAGTGGGATGACGCGCTACGGGCAGTCGAAGTTGGCGAATATCTTGCATGCGAAGACGCTGCATCGGCAATACGGGCCGGGTTCGGACAGTGCAAGCGCCGGGGAAGGGGAGGTTTGGTTGGCCATCGTGCATCCAGGGTTGGTGGAGAGTCGGCTGGGGGAGCGGGCGGAGTTTCCGGTGCTTTTGAGGAAGCTGTTTGAGATCTACGGAGCACTTGGGGGTAGAGTGAATGCTGATACGGGGTCGTGGACGAGTCTGTTCTGCGTGGCGAGTCCGGCGATGAAGAGGGAGCAGAGCGGGACGTATTTTCAGAGGATCGCGGAGGCCGGCTGGCAGAGTGGGATGGCGAAGGATACGGTGCTGGCGGAGAGATTGGAGAATTGGACGAGGGAGGTGATGGCGAAGGAGGGTTGGGTTTGAAGAAGGGGACGTGGAGAGGATAGTGCTTTTGGGCGCAATTGTTTAAATTTAAATATATCTCTGCTCTAAGGCTAAGCATGGTAGCGTAAATTGTATGTAGTATACAAAGATAGTGAAGGCTCACTTATGCTTCGTAGAATCATAACCCCATATCCGTATCGTCAACTCATCAATCGGTAGGAATACCCAGTTGCCTCGCAGCCTCAACCAGTCCCTCAGACTGGATGTCAATCCACAGATCCACATATCCCTCTCTCCGCGCCTGATCGGGGTCTAAGACCTCCTCCTGCGGACGCTCACAGTAGATCGTCTGGAAGCCGCAGGCCTTGGCCCCTTTCAGATCCCCCAGATGGGCCGCCACCATCGCACATTCCGCGGGGTCGAGACCGAAGCGGTGCGCCGCCCCACGATACACCAGGGGCGAGGGCTTGTACGCCCCGAAGTTCTCGGCGCTGGCAACGTCGGTGAAAGGCAAGCCGCCGTGCTGTTTCAGATCGTCGAGCAGCGCAACGTTACCGTTGGAGAGCGTGCAGGTGCGGAATCGCCGGTTCAGCAACGCGAGGCCGCGCGTGCTGTCCGACCACGGATCCAGACGGTGCCAGGCCAGCGCGAGCTCCCATTTCTCGTCGTCCGTAAAGAGGGCCTCGATCTGTCGATCGTGCAGGAGCTTGTGCAGCGCTTCGTAGTGGTGCTGGTCGACCGATACGAAAGCCTGCGAGGGGTCGAAGCTTCGCGTGAATTGCCCGTAGGATCGGCGCCAGTCTTCTGCAATCCCTAGCCAGTCCTGTGAGGTCATGGAGGAAACGCGAGCGCGCACGTCCGGCGAGAGGTGTCGCAGGGGATCGTTGAGAACTTCTTTGGCGGCCTCTTGTAGTGCCGACGTGACTCCGGGACGCCACTCGACGACGGTGCCAAACACGTCGAAGAACAGAACCCGGGGAGGCGGATGGATCGGCATGTTTGTGGTTATTCCTCTTTAGTATAAATATAGAGTCGCGTGGCGTTATCCCTGAGCAAGGGTTGTATGCAGGCTGTCAATTGCCACAAATGGCAGCGAGGGTGGACGTGTTTAATCGATATTGAGGCAATACGAATGCGAGGGAAAGGAGCCGGGTTACACGGCGTCAGATGAGGCATGCAAACAAGTTACAGAATTGAAATCTCTCACATTCCTGGTCTTGTCCTTTGTTTTAAGCGGACGAGTCTCCCATTCTCCTGGCGGGTGAGTTCGGGTGCCGATGGAATCGGGCTGAGTCAGGCTGAACGTTCAGCCTGAGAGAGAAGCCGAAGCATGTCACAGCAGATTGGTAGAGTAGAGCATTCAAAGGTCGCCGAATGCCCTCAAATTGCTCTGTTGAATCGCGATCACGAAGGACACAAACATCATTGAATACTAGCTGCCTAACTTCGACCCAATGCGGCTGCGAATATATTAAACTAACGGGCCCCAATTTGCACGACTCCATAACTCCCCCAAATGAAGGCAATCTAATCCAAAGCATGGACCACCCGGGCCAAATTGAATTACTACCGAATCCCGGCGTCTCCTTTCTCCGGTAAATCAATTCGGGGAACAAGTGCTGTACACGTAGATAATGATGGTGAGACATTCGGCCATATTAAAACTCAGGAGGTTAATCTCTCGAACGTTTCTAGACTCGAGTGGACCTGACTTGACCCGCGGATCTATATAGCACGTAGATCGGGAATCGTAACGCTGACACATGGGAATGATTGGTTGCATCATCGCAATAATAAGTGACTATGGAAACAGAGCATGAAAAACCTCCCGAGGCTTGGAAGTCGCGTTAGTTAGGGATAAGATATGGAGACTCTCGCCCTTAATCATTGGAGTCATTGGTGTACTTGCTCTCTATAGTTAGTGGAAGTCTACGACAGGGATCGGAAATGATGTTGCATTAACACTGGCAAATACTCCGTAAAGGGGTACGTCGAAGAGGAGCTGAATTGGTAAGATGATAGGGGCTCTTTCGGCCGTAACACGACTACCTAGGGTCTGAGAAGTGAAGGACGTTCTGATCGCCCCAGGAGGTTGTCATCCGCATTTGAACATACCCTCTGTTCAGTTCTATGGCTGAGGTTGGGTACGCGCTGCCAACGTTCGAATGCAATGGTGCAATTGCCATCGCCAGCATCTGCCAGGAACAACCCAAGCAACATGGACCCCGAGCTTCTATGCAACCATGTGATGGTATTGTGTATATCCCACAAGCGCATCCTAGCAAGAACTCTCCATGAGGCGTGCTGCTCCGGTCACTAGCATGCCTTGAGCACCAGACGCATTCCCATCTGTTTCCAAGAGAAGGCCTTGGGCTCAAGGACGGCAAATGATCATCTGGCGATCGATCAGGTGGGCTGTATGATTCTGGCTCTTTCAAGATGGGACTGGGTCATTCGCATCTCCCTATATCGCAGGGTTCCAAGGTGGCGCGTGTGACCCGCAGGCTGCGCAAGCTGCTTGGAAGATATTGTGGATAGCTATGTGTTTCCTGTAGATATAGGCCAGCGGTTGTTGTATAGAGAGGCGAGAGGACGAAGACCACCGAGTTTTCCAAGCCGGATGTTTTCCCCATCGAAGTACAATTAATTGAGGATAGCGTCGGGCTTTTGTCGCGAATCGATTGAATTGATCTATACGGCTATGCCTGACAGGAAGAAACTGGCGGGACCAATTTCTATTCGAATTGCGACCCTGTTTCGACGAACTGGACGGCGGCGTTGATGTCAGCATCTAAAGGATAGCCACAAGGTGGTGTACGACGGAGGGAGACAGTAATGCAGAGGGAAACTGTCCTAAAGATAGACTATTATCCAGAGCTTACATGATATAAACATACTTACGGTAAGATTACTACTGCTGAGGACCTGCCTGGCCCATTTGGTTAAGGGATGTCAGCCGTTCGTATCCCGGACATGTCTTACTGAAGATAGGCAGTAGTGAATCCACTGTCACCAGAACACTAGGGATCAGGGATCAGGACTCAGGAGACAAGAGACAGGATACGGGAATGTTCGATGTTTACGGAGTTGGGCACCAAGGCTTAGTAGGTCCGAAGTAAACCCTTATAACTGATCGGCGATCACAGCCGGCGAGATTGATCGTCTCCATTGCCGGATTCGCAGGGGAGAATGAGTTATTATTGAACATTCCGTCCTGCGATCGCAGACCAAGAAATCGACCGTGATCCGGCGATCCTTGGACCCGTCACATTATCACTTTCGGCCGGTGCTTCAAGTTGAAAGTCGCCCGCATAGCCGTGCGCCGTGCGGCCGTTGTGCTACGTATGGAGTATGTATGCACACTGTTAGTCCTGTTAAGTAGTACTACACTACTGTAGTACTACTAGGATAGAAAGGCTGACAGCTGCAGCCTGGATGATCTCCTCAACGGTGCATGTCCATCGGACTTCTCTTTCGTTACATTGATATCTAGGATGTGATCGGCCAAGGTCCGCGAGTGAGGAATCCTCCGACTCCTTTCGTGTAGCTCCTGCGTCGTACTGCGTAGCGCGTAGTGCAGTTACTCGCAGATGAGATTCCACGATCCAACGCCGGTGGAAATTGGACTCGGCGGCCCCGCGACACGAAGGATAGACAAAGAGTGACAGGTAATTAGATGGTCCTTGCCCGACTAAGTCTCGACTCTTCGACTCTCGACAGCCAATCGACAGATTCGCATTGATTCAGATGCCTCTCCTCCGGATGCACCGTGACCTGTCACCGTCCGCCTCTGTCGAGTCCGTCGAGGAGTCCGTCGAGTGCCCCTGAACCGAAGGCGCGAAATCCTGTCGACCAAGTGGGTCGTCTAACGAGGCCCCGTTGCCCACCTTGCAACTAGTCCCATTGAATTTTGGGCCTTGGCTTGAGGATACTGGCGACCGACGCTAGTGCGGAGCTTCTCTCACGTTCGGAACCAGCATTAGGGCGTGTGAATGTGACGACGTGCGATCCAATGGACATCATCGCTCGAAAGTCATACTCCATGCTCCGTTCTAAATGGATGTACCTACGGGGTACATTGAACGGAGTAGTTGGATGCACATCGTATTCCCCGATCTCCGCCCGGGGATACTCCGGATTCAATATGATAATTTATTATTTAATATCTACTCCGTATCAACGGACGTCATGCAGAGCCTGTCATGCCCAGCTCCCTGTGGAATCCCAAAGTCGCGATTCCCAAGGTTCACCCAAGGTTTCCCGGCGCGGGAGTGCAGACTCGGACCCAAAAACGAGCAGGGAAGAAGGCAGCCAGCAACGTTGCAACTTGCAAGGGTTGAATCAGAATGAAAGCAAATCCGTCGCTAATTTCCGAGATGGAGATGCCGCGCCCAAAGTTGAGGCCGGTGGAGAGCTGCGATCCAAGGTTCCCTGGCTCGGCTGCTCCCTTTTCGTCCGGTTTCTTTGTTCTCTCCCTGGAGGCGCGTCAGGGAGGTGGATATGAATAATGAATAATAGACAATATCCCCTCTTATTAAGTCCATTATTTCCCAGGCTGCGGAGTAAAATGGCCATTATTGAAGTGGGATGCATGTCGTGCCGGAGGATTTGCCCATATGGGAATTCGGCAGACACTCCTTTGCCCCCGAAATGGATTTTTGGCACTATTCTACGTTGATGGGATTACAGACAGACATGCATACTTCACGGCGCGATTTATTTTCACGGACCGAAGCTACGAAAGATAAATATAGGGCAGCTGGAATCCTGAAACACGGACCATGGGCTCTTTGGAAATTGTGCTTGACGATCAACAGGCACCAAAAAATCAATCAAGAACACAAACAAACAAAACAGTGTCGAGGACGGACGATGGACTTGGATCGGTCTCGACTTTGCGAATCGTATGATGCTGGAGCGGGAGATTCGCAGGATGGAGAAGGCGAAATTAAAACCGATTCTCCAGAGTAATTCCATACCTAATCTACTCTGTAGGGTGAAATGAAATGAATGACGACCATCTCGTCGAGATCATTGCG